AATAACATTTACATAAATACTTTTTATTTAAACATGCTTTTTCTAAATTTAAATAATTTAAATATACATGTAATTTAATCAGTAAAGAAAATAAATAAACAAGAAAGTTAGAATTCATTTCTCCTGTGTGTACTCCTATTTTAGGCAAAATTTCGGCATGACTTCGGATCGGAAGAGTTCCTAAGGTTTTTTATATGCAGGGTTTCAGATCTAAGAATAAAGGTACCCGAATTGTCCTTGTTAGTGCCCCCTTGGGTTGCTAACCCTCAATCCTAGTCCATCACAGACTAAAGTGGATCGAGTTCAATTCGAGGGGATACATTTCTCTATGCCTGACACGGAGAATAAATTCTCACGAAGACAGAGAGCATATGAACCCCGGAAGTTACTTGCTAGGTCTGACACGGAGAATAAATTCTCACGAAGACGTCGCTTTCACTCCCACTTAAAAGGGACAACTCAATTATAGAGCTTTATGTTATGCAATGCAAGTGTTGTGTGTGAGGAGAAATGTTCATACCTCTGACAAAATAAATAATGAAATAAAATACTTATAAATAAAACATGTAAATATTATGAAAATAATAAGTAAAATATAAAAATTTTGAAAAGAAAGAATTAAAAATTAAATATATAAATTTTTAATTTTTAATTTTTAATTAATGGAGACAAATTATAATTGATTTTTAAAAGTTTAACCAGAGATTCTGGGTTCGTTCCCCAGCAGAGTCGCCAAGCTGTTGTAACCGGTTTTTGTCCGGGCACGAAATATTAAATTTGGCGGGGAAATTGATGTGAATAAATAATGTTGAAAATAATTTGTGAGTCGCCATCGGCCTTTTGGATCAGGTAGGTCGAATACCTAAAAATTATTTTTTTTAAAAGAGTTTTAAGAAAACATCAATTTTAAAAAAAAATGAACTGATCTGCGTTTTATAACCAAAAATTCGTTCTCTTTTTTTTTAAAAAAAAATAAATAAAAAGGGATTCGTGGTCGGTTACGTTTAGGGAAGGATTAGCACCCCTACAACGCCCAAAAATTGGTACTTTTTAATTATAAATTGTCTCTATTATTAAAATTTTAAAGATTCAAAAATATATTTAATTTATAATCCTATTATTTCAAAATTATATAAAAAATATTTATTTATTTAAAAATATCAGAAAAGAACTTCTAGGTGCCTTAAGACATCTCATTTCTTTGATATTGATAAATATTAATTTAAATAATATTGTTTAATTTTTAATTTTAAAATATCAGAATAGGACATCCAGTTGTATTAAGACTATCCTTTTCTTCGATATTAAAAATAAATATTTAAAAATTACTATTTATTATATATATATTTATGAATACATAAACATATTTTAAAATATAAATAAAATAAAAATACCACTAAAACAATATATTTTAAAAGCAGTAAAATAAATGAAAACATATAAAATAAATGACTAAATTATAGTAAAAATAAAATTTAAAAATCTAATTTATAATTAATCAAAATTATAGGGATTAAACATGCTATTTCTTTATTTTATTTATTTAATGACTAAAATAAAATTATCTAAAATTCGGATATTAGAATAAAATAAATTAAAAATATAAACTAAGGATTAAAATATTATTTATTAAAATTAAGGGATTAAATCTGTTATTTATCCTAAATATATTATTTTAATATAAAGGACTAAAATAAAAGAAATTAAAATTAAGGATCTGAATTAAAAGTATTATAAAATCGATTTAGTGACTAGAATGTAAAAATTACAAATTGGAATGGCTTCGGACGGGGTTTACCCTTTGTGAAATTACAGAAATACCCTCCCCAAAACGACGTCGTTCGGGAGAGGGTATTTATAACCTAAACCGGCTGGCCCTACGGGCCAGCTTCTCATTTCATTTTCTCTGTTCTCTCTCTAACAGAGAGAACAAATTTCTCTCTGCCCTCTCTCTAGCTTCCCTCATCGGAGGGAAGCCGGTCACCGGACGGCAACCGTGTGCCGCCGTGACTGTCACCGCCGGCCACCGCATCCGGTGGCCGGAAAATTTTATTCTTTACACCGTTAAATAGATCGGAACGTCCTAAGGACGTTTCCGGTGCTCTTTTTCCTTAAAAAGCTCCTAATCGGAGCAAATCTACAAAAGTACCTTCGGTTTTTTGTTGTATCCGGCGACGGTTGGGGTTCTCCGATGATAATAAGTTTCTCTTCTTTCTTTTTCTTTTCTTTCTTTTCTGTTTCTTTTCTGAATGGTTGTTGAGATCGTTGGTATATATATATTTTTTTGTATCTTGTTTCTCTGTATCTCCTTTTTTTTTGTCTCTCCCTCCTTCCTTTTTTTTTTCAGGTTCGGGTGGTGGCTTTTATAGCCACCACCGGTGTGGCCATCGGACCGGTCCGAAGAGGGGGTCTCGGTGAGTCACCGGACTACCAGTGGTGACTCACCCCGTAGCCATGGCGTGGACGGCTGGCGTTGGAGCTTCTGGAGCCTTCGGTTGGGACGTGGCAGCGGCGGAGGCGGCGAGAACAGCAACGGCGGCCGCGTGGCCCTAGGGTATCATACCCTAGGGTTTCCATCTGGAGCCATCTAGACCGTTGGATCTTGCCAGATCCAACGGCAGCAAGCTGAGGCGGCTGGGATTAGGGTTTAGGAAACTCTAACTAAAACCCTAAATGTTTTTGGGTTTCAGTTTGGTTTGGGCCAGAAACTTGATTTGTAATTAATTATTTTTTTAATAATATTTATATATGTATTTAATATATTTAATAATAATAATAATTATTATTATTATAATTATAATTATAATAATAATAATAATTAATTAATATGGGTAAAAAATTAGTATCTTCACATCGGATGCTAGTTTATATTAGCATGTTTCTTGAATCTTAAGTACACCGAGCAACAAGCTTTCAAAAGATTTCAAAAGGGCAACGAAAAAGGTTGCTAAGATATTATTCAGGACATACATTTTCCTATCCTGCAAACTTTTCAGGGGTCAAGTCAAACCTTAGGGCTTTTGAAAAAGGGGAAAAATGTGGTCCCAAGGAGGTGGGACAACCATTGGAGCAACGACCAGGTTCACAAAACAGCCTCCTAATTAGCCTAGCTAGATTTTTTGCCGTGCAAAGTACAATTAAAATTAAGAGGAAAAAAAGTTGCTCAAATATTGAAGCAAATGAAAAGAGAAAATGTAGCTTCTTACGTCCACAATGCCCTACAAAGTACAATTCAATGAAGGTCTAACAGCCAGTGCCTATAAGAATGAAAACTGCATACCATCAAGGCCCCACCCGATATAAAGTGGGGGTAATTCCAATAGAATCTCGAGCTGCAATGAAACTTTTGTCACGAGTGTCAAGGAGGACAAATGAGAACAAGCCATCCAGCATGTCCACAAAATCTTCTCCATATTCTTCATACTGAAAAGAGTAAGTAGCCAAAATTGATATACAGGATGAGCAATCACTTCACAAGATGAAAATGTTCTGAATAACTAACTTAAACATCCACTCAAGTACTTACAATATGAGCAATCACTTTACAGTCACTTCCAGTTCTGAACTGACGGGACTTCAGCTTTTCTTTCAATTGATTATGGTTATAATCTCTCCATTAACCTATAATCTTCAAGCAAACATGAAAGTAAAATCAAACATTGCATTCTAACTATGGCTCCAACTGATTGTTATTTTTTGTTGCTAATTATTTTTTTCTTATTTACATTTTTTCCAATATTATAATATAAAGAAAAAGCAAATGACAGAAAATAAAACCATAATTGATAACAAAAAAACAAATGCAAAATCATATACTTATATCTACACGTCAAAATGAAAAACCAGTTATAACATAACACATGCATGAACCTTTGAATACTATATATAACCTTAACTTTAGTTATTGAAAATATTATTTACTTTCATGTCGAAAAAAAAAACATTTTACGCTAAAAAAGAATAGCATAATATTATAAACTAAAAAAAATAGATAATTTATTTTCATGATCATTCCATGGTCGAGAAAAAGAAAGTATACCATGACAACAATAGTCTTATCCTCGTTATAAAGGGGCTGGTCGCCTGAAGCCGGATCTACGATAGCTAAATGCTGATGAGCAAGGTAACAATCTCGATGGCAATATAGTCCACTCCAATTAGGACCTCTATGCCTCAATCTACACTCTCCATTTCAATCAAAATCAATAATCATTTTCGTCTAAAGACAAACAAAATTGCTAAAAGACTAAAATATCAACATCACCTTCGAGACAGTTCGATGATGCGGGAGCGTTTAGATTGAGAGTTGTCAACGTAGCCTAAACGGCAAGTATTCCACACATAGCTGGCGTTACGGAATGGAAGGCCAGCGGAGGCTGTTGAGAATGGAATCTGTAGGAAAACGCGAGTGGATTTTGTAATTTAAATAATAGAGGGTCCAATCACAGCCGCCAATTGTTTTTTGGGTACCAACAGCCGTTGATATTGACTAACTTTTTTATTTATATTCCCTTTCTGCCGTTCACCAAATTTATGGAGGGATTACGGATAAATTATTTATTAGGGTTTTGGAATGTTGAGGAATTTTTTTTTATTTTTTCTTGTGGATTCTGGATGGTAGGGTCAATGGTTTGTGAATTGGAATCTTGGAACTTTTACGTTATAAATTATCATCTGCTACGTGGAGTAATATCTACTTCGTGCACTTCATCACCTCTTGGTTCATGACATAATTTCTTAATTTTCACTTGCTTTTGACCGTTTGAACTAATAATAGTATCGATTTTAAATTTACTTAATAACATTATAAAAGTAGGGTAAAATAAAATTATGTCAAATTAAAATTAAAAAAAGAAACCTAAATTTCAGTGCACTAGAGCTTTCCTTTTAATGTAAAATTGAAATTTGGCAGGAAAAAAAAACATACTTGATAATAATGAGAGTTAGCTTTTTAGTATGCATATGATTCGTTACTCACTCATTGATAACTAACACAAAACTTAAGGGGAACACTGTAGCCCAAATTTTAGTTCAATCTCAAAGAATAGTTTAATAAAAGAAATTATAAAACAGAATCCATGAGGTAGTTTGAGCTAAGAATCAAAGTGGTACGTGTCTAATTCTTCATCTCCTTTTTCACCTCCTTTCCTATAAGATTCTTCATATTGGACACAGCTATCACAATATAATCTTACCTATCACTACAAATTTCAGCAACTGTCCCCTTGTGCAGTTGCGAGCTTTTGAAACTACAAGATGTTCTATGCAAGTCTCATAGTTCGAACCTCGGAAGCTGAATATACCAGATGGTGAATACATTTTCCCAGGCAGCCACACATTGTCGGTGTATACGATAAACATCAACTATCTCCTACTGCTTGCCGCCTTGTCCTTGTTCAAGTCAGCAAGCTCCTCAATAAGCTTCCTCTCTTCACTGCTCAATCGTTTCGGTATTTCAACCTGTACGCGGACCAACTGATCACCCCTCATGTTGCTTTTATTTAGAACTGGGACACCTTTCTTTGCCATTACAAGGGTGGTGTTAGGCTGCGTCCCAGCTGGTATCTTCAAATCAACCATACCATCCACAGTTGGAACCTTGATTGTTGTTCCCAGAATTGCATCTATGTAAGACACTTTGCAAGTATACAATATGTTGGTATCATCTCGTTTTAGGACAGGGTCTGGTATAACTTCAATAACAACAAAGAGATCACCAGGAGACCCACCTTTCTTTCCAGCATTTCCTTCAGACCGAACCCTTAAACGACTACCGGAATCCACACCAGCCGGAACTTTCAAACTGATTCTCTTTGTTCTCCTTACCCGCCCGTCACCAGAACATGTATTGCACGGGGTAGAAATTTCCCCCGTCCCACCGCAAGAAGAGCATGTCATTACCTGCTGGAAAACACCTAATGGAGTCCTTGCAGATGAGATAACCTGACCTTGCCCACCACACGAAGTACATTTCGACGCTGTTGTACCAGGTTTTGCACCTGACCCGTTACATGTTCCACAGCTTTCTAGTCGGGTTATCTCAATCTCCTTCTCAACCCCAAAAACTGCTTCCTTAAAATTCAAAACAAGACTGTAATATTCATCCTGCCCATCAACTGCTCTACTCCTGGAACTTGGGCCACCCATGCCCATGCCGCCCATGCCACCCATACCGCCCATGCCCTCAAACAGCGACTCAAACAGATCAAAAGGATTGCTAAAATCCTGAGAAAATAAACAAGCCATCAATGAAACAAAATGAATCATTGAGAGAAGCCAAGGAAAATAATTTTGAAATAAGTTCTCCTTTTTCAGAATTGTTCACGTTAACTTACCCCCATTCCCATACCAGCACCTTTAAGTCCAGCCTCCCCATATTTATCATAAAGAGATCGTTTCTCATCATCAGACAAGACCTAAGCAGTACATTGCACACCATGATCATTAGATGTCATATGACCATAGTCACATGCATTAATTGTATAAAAGAAGCCAATCGTAAGCACAACATGGAACTCTTACTTCGTATGCATTGCTAATTTCCTTGAACTTCTGCTCTGCCCCTGGATCTCTGCAAAATAACATATGATGATTAGAAATTGAACAAATGAAGGAAAAACAGATCAACTACTCAAACATGGATTTAAGAAAAAAAAATTTAATTAGCACCAACAAACTGTTTTGGAAGACTTCAGAGAAGATATCTGACCAGAAGGCAGAAATCTACTATGAGGATTCTACATTTTCTCCCTTTCATCAATCATATTTAGAAATATATGAAATATATGGATACAAACTCAACAAATATCGAAGTTGGGGAAATCTATGATTACTATCCTATTTTCTCTTTCTTTCAACAGCCACATTCACTTTATAACCATTATTACAACTAGCTGAGTCATCTCACAAATTTTTATCGGAACCATATACAACTAGAGTTCAAGTTTCCTGCCACTGAACATTACACGTGCATTTACCACATTATGTCAAAGCCTTTAAATATAATATGCAAAAGTGAACCGTACACGACCATAATAAAAGGCTAAGAAGTGCAAGGTTAACAACTGACTTGTTCACATCCGGATGATAACTCCGAGCAAGCTTTCGATAAGCTGCAGCAATAAAAACACTGAGATAATATAACACGGGAGATAAAAGCAAAAAGTAGCAAAAGAAACAAATAAACAGCTAAGCCACTTAGTTTTGGAGTACCTAAGAAAAAGGAAATCTAATTTACATAATTATCAGTCATTTGTACATACAAGTACACCGTTGAGTCATTTTAAATCAAAACAAGGAAAGCATAAATTTTTCTTATAGTTGGGACACCTAAAAGATACTTCCTTTTGAACAGCAGGAGCTTTCAACACAATATCATCACCACTTGCCAACTCATCCTATTAGACTTAGTCTTTCATTTCTCTCTAAGACTTGCAAGCACTCATTTTCTTCCTCTTGAAGAGTAAGAAAATGCCTCACTGTTATCACATAAAACAGACCGATTTTCAGCTTCTATACATGCCTGATATGTGTACCTACTTATATCATAGAATGTATCTTTAATTTCTCTTCAAATCCATCCATCCATCCATCCTCTCTAAATTCCTCTTCCCTTTATATCATTAAAACCTAACCTCCCTGAAAACTGAAGGTTCGGCAATAGTGTTAACTTTCAATGCAAAAATCCTTAAAGATGGATAAACTTTAATTTCAATAAGCTGCAAACCACAAACAGAAATAAGAAATAGACTAGCAAACTAAAATAAGCACATAAATACCCCACAATATCATATAGGAAACAAAATAGAACAGTTGCTGAAAAAGGTACGGTAAGTCATCATACCACTTTTAATTTCGGATTTACTTGCATTTCTTGACACCCCAAGGACAGTGTAATAATCCTGCTTATTACAATGCATGATAACATTAAATTGAGAATGGAACAGAAAGCAGGATATCAACTACAGCAAAAATAAATGTTTATCCCAAAATTTTCAAAATATATAATTAATGGAAAAAACCATTACAGCCCTCCACTTTCACACGCACATAGAAAAGTAGAATAAGTGGAGGTTTATACTCACAGTTTCAGCTCTAACAATGAACCGTGATCCCCTACGACGATGTGATGTTTGATATGGCCCCATATAGGATAATAATGGGAAGGAATCACGTGAAAATAAGCTTGAACTTGATCCTCCCAGATACCTCATTATACATGTTACTCTACAAAAGGGTAATAAAAACCTAAATTATTCTTCAATTAATACAAAAAGTTAGACCATTATGGGTGGCGATAACACAATATAAATCCCCACTTCTCTCTTTGGCACTCAAACTCATCCCCCCTCCATTTCTTTCTTTTTGTAGTCAATAAAACAATTATAGCCTAACAAAAGAGAAACTAAAAAGGTGGGAAATTTTTCATCTAATCATTATGTTCACCAAAATGATATGCATCAAAATTTCATAAATGCAATGCATATTGATGCAGAAACCATAAAATAAAAACCATAACTAGTAATGACATAGCAGATTCCGCAATTCCATGTTTATATAAAGCTCTGAAAGAAAATAATTGATGTCGAACAATCAAATTCAGTAATGTCCCTTCCATACAAAAAAAAAAGTTGACCAGAAAACTTACCCTGATTGGGCTGACACTATTCGATTTGCGACATTGGGTCGTACAATAAATTGAGGACGAATACCCCACTGGGCAACACAGGTACTTCCACAAGGTAATATTGCCATCCAATACGAGGATTGACAAACTGATCTCAAGTTTATGCCAAATGACCTTTGGCAGGCTGCAATAGGTAAAAACTTAAATTTCAGTGTAATCTAAAATGAAAGGTAAGGTAAGAAAAATCATAGATTGACTGCACCATCATACGATGTAAGCTCAATACAATGCATCCTTGAAAAAATAAAATAAAATAAAAAGTAAACCAATAAGACTTCCATTTCATCTATCATTGATGGAAATACCAAAAGGGTTCCATTTTCCAATCAAATTAACGCCAGAGGATATAACAGTTATTCTAATTAACAAATGTTCACATCAACTCAAACAATCATCATACGTATGACAAGACTAAATAAGATAAAACAAAATAAACTGGTAGAATCCTAGTATGGAATCTTAGCCTAAATGCTTGCTTTTAACAGGTCAAAAATCATAATTAGAAGCCGTTGTATAGAAAATATGAGCTTCTACTGTAAAGGCCATGTATTTCATTACTTGCCATGATACGCACGCTAAGAATTTTATCACTATAATAATTAATAAAGCCACTTCATTTTCGTACTTGAGGCTACAAAGGATTGAACCAGATCGCTGGAACTAAGACTCCAACATCCTACTAACAAACTACACAGCAGTTGGCAACACTTCAATAAGGCCACAATTACCCTTAACAGTGGAAAAGCCTAAGTGACCGAAACAAATATGAGCAGCAACATTCGAATGGTGTGCTTTGCTCACACTAAAAAAACTAGTTTCAAATACTGCAACATCAACAAAACTTTATCAACCATTTTCTGGCCCCAGCATTGAACAACCTATTCTGATTCAAGGTTAATGCCCAACTTGATTTCTTTTCTGGATTCATGCCGTCAAAAGCTTGTTTTCATTTATATGTATGTTTGTGTATTCATTTCCTTAAATATTACCAATGCTTGTTGAATACATGTTTTTCCCCAAATTATTCCTACTACTCAACCATTCTATCCAAACCCATTTCTTTCTTCCTTTAGTAGCAAAAAGGCTCTCCCTCCCCTTTTGGTGTTTCAAACAAAATACTTATCCAATGCTAACCAAATTAATGCAAGTTTTGTATCAACTAGGGTCAACAATCCATCAGCGAAAAACCAAAACTGTCAAACAAAACCTTATAAATAAAAGAATAAATATAATAAAAAAAAGCACAATAAATGAAAATGAGTGTCAGACATAAAATCGATATAATATTAAAATTCTCAATGCTTACGCCGTAGTTCAACAGCTAAAACAACCCGGTAACCCGAGTTTAAAGCAAAATAGAACTACAAATATAGCGATTGAATCAAAATTCAGGGGAAAAGGTCGAACCTTGTTGGCTCCAAAGTGGCTTGTTCTCTATGAGGAGGAGGAGGAGGAGGATAGAGAGGATACAGTGAGGCGCTTTTGCAGAAGAACAAAAGGCAGGAGAAGGATGAGGTTAGAGTCTCTAAATGTAGGGTTTTTATTCTCTGATTTGCTTGGTAGATTTGTGTCATGTTGCTCTATTCATTTTTCACCGTTGGATTGATGCAATGGATTATGACGTTTGCCAACGTTTTTCCCCTTAATTAAACGATTATATTTTCAAGGTGAAATTACATGCCGGGTCCCTCAATTAAACGATTAAATTCATTTCTAATCGGATAATTTGTACGAAGTATGTTAATAATTTAATGAAAATTAAAGCAAAAAAGAAACGTTCCAGAGAAATGGTGGGAGCCTTGGAGGAGTGGGCATTTCTCTATGAAGCAACCATTTTTATATACTAATCTTGGATCTAATCATAATCCTACTTAGATAGATGAAAAGGAAATAAAAATCTTATAAATTTAGAATTCGTGATTTGAAAAAATATAAAAGAATAAAGATTAATAACTGGAACAACAAACCAAATATATTTTCTGTATGAAGCAACAAAAATTTATATCAAAATTCTTCACCTTTGTCATTTTTGTTCAAAAGCCTACCAAGCTTGACTTATAGCACAAAGATTACAGGCAATTTATTACTCCCTCTTTTTGAATAAAAATTCAAAAGAAATGCATACATCAAAGTTGAAAGAAACCTCGCTCCCAAACACAATTAATAGAATATATAAAATCATTAAATATTAAATTAAAAATAAAATAAATATTCTTAAAAAATACGAGTGGGTCTAAAATAGAATTTGGATTAGACATTAACAAATATATATTAAATTCGATAGAAATTTGACGTCCATTTTTAGATTTAACCGATGAATAAAAATAAAATATAGTATTAATTTTATACATAAATGAGACCGACTCAACTCATGAGGAACTCTAACTAATTGAAAAGGAAATGTTACTATACTGTTTAGATAATATTTTTAATTCCAAAATTGTGTATTGAAATTTGATGTCATGAAAAATAGTTTATAAAAGAAAATAATGATATTAAATATAGGCGTTTTTACCCAAAAATACCCTAAAAATAAAATATTTCCGATGAGTTATCTATTCCCAAATATTTTTTAATCTAACACCTTTTTGGAAGAGAGAGAAGATTTCCCCTTGAAGGCGTATCCCCTTGGGAGAGCTTTACCCGAGTTTTGGATTCCTGGAAGGTGCATCCCTTAGGGGCGCCTTCCCATTTTTTATTATCTTATTAAATAATTTTTTTGTTCAATCATTTTTTATTATTTTTGTTTAATTAATTTTTGTATTCAATAATTTTTTTATTTTTTTATTATTTAATTGTAAATTTATTTAGTTTATATTTATTATTTGCAGTTAAAAAATGGAAGGTGGGATGTTGTGATTGGATGTTTATCATATTTCGAATCATTTTGCTAATATCATAAAAATATGAAACTATATTCTTTTCAAGTTTTTAAATATTAGGAAATCAATAATGTATTATTTAAATTGTTAGAATTTATTTATTAGAATTACAAGATATCTGATTACTCATTTACCAGAACCCGGGGAAAGGAAAACCTGGGGATGCGCCTTCTATGGAATCCAAAACAGGGTAAAGTTCTCTCCCGGAGATGCACCTTCAAAGGAAAATCTAAAAATTATATCCTCTCTTCTTCTAAGATGTTTTTCATCAAATGCGTCTCTTTCTCTCTGTTCCAAAAGGATGTTAGATCAAAAAAAATTTTAAAAATGATGAGTGATCGGAAATATTTTATTTTAAGGTGATTTTTTTGGTCAAAATGCCTTAAAGATAAACATACAGCATGATTAGATTTATAAATACACGTATAACTAGATAGTTTTATAATATAAAAAAATATACGTAAGAGTTTTTTTTTCTTTCGTAGAGTTGTTATATTTACAATTGCTAATGAGAAAGGATTTGAAAAATCCTTGAACTTGTCCCCTATTTTTGCAGGCTTGGACTCTGAGTTGCTCTGATTTTCGGCTTTATTAAATAAAAAAAAACTCCCAAAAATCATTTATTTAAATAATAATTCTCAAACAACATTAATTGGAAAAATATCTAAAGCCTTAACACGTCGAACTATCTCATCTCCTACAAAACGTGTGTCAATGCCCAGCGTTCTATAAGACGCAAGACTCCTCCAACGTGAAAGTACTTTTAGACGATGTAATTTAATATTTTAAAAAATAACCTCACGTTATGCACAACGTGAGACTCCCAAAGTATTCAATTGATCAAGTTTAGCAATCAAATAACTACCTACGTACTTGTTATGATTCTTGTTTTTTTTAATAATGGAGCTACTTTATTTTGTAACATATTACTTAGAATGAATTTTAACAAGTTTTGTTTGTTTACTACAATAGTGTTTTTTTGTTATTTTATTATATATTTTACAAAAAAATTAATGATTAATTTAAATTCATAAAGGAATTTATTTTTTGTTAATAACGTCGTTAGACCTCACGTTACACAAATTACGAGGACCTTTCAACAGACACGACTCGATGATGCTTCGAATTCTCTGAGTGTCGAGACGTTTCAAATTCTCGGGGACCTTGTTTTATGCATAACACGAGTATTTTTTTTAAATATTAAATTATATTTTCTGAAAAGTATTTTTACGTTGGAAAAGTCTCGCACCCTATATAACATGAAACCATGATACACATTTTGTAAGACGTGAATTAATCCTATGAGTACGGAGTACTTTAACGATCAATGTTGGTTGGGGTTGTTTTTTCAATAAAATAATAAATGGAATTTTTTATCTAATATCGCCATGATTTTACGCATTGCTGCTTGAAAAAGGCAATGGACAATGTCTGATTTCCTTTATTATACGATCTTCATTTGAATATTGTAAGGTGTATGTATTAGATATATATATTAGATAACCAAGTAAAGGCAATAAGAAATCGTGCCACCAAAACTGTAAATAACAAAGATTGCACCAGTGTTTTGACTTTTGATGATTATTGCATTGATATTTTATATATGATAGACAATTTTCTTCTGCAACTTTGATGCCAAAGCCAAACTAAGCTTGAGACTGGAGAATACATACATAAATTCCACATGTTTGAAGCATGCTTAATCTCTATAACGAATGCCTTCATCTGAATATGAAATGCTGCGAATGATTTTCTTCAATTTAATCGAAAAACATGGAACAAAAAATCTTACAAGACATTATCCTCTTTGTTTTTGCATACCTTTCAATCTGTTTTACAGCCATTGCTACAGTTTCGAAGCAGGAAGTGAATGAATAAGGAAAGATTTGAAGTGCTTGTATAACTCTTTAGGCTTCTCTACATTGATCGCATGCCCTGCATTCTTTATGATCACTAGTCCTGCATTGTCTCCCAGATGCCTGCACGAGCAGCTCACTATTACAACGAAAACAAATTTCAGACTCAGGGAAAAAGGAAACCCAAATACGATATTAGTTACCTTTTCAATCTGTTTGCCAATTCCAAAGGGAATATTTGGTCATGTTCTCCCCAGATTATTAGTGTTGGCTGCACATAAGAACATCTTTTACTCAGTAAAGACCCCAGAATAGAAGACCACCAAAATTGCAGGAAAAACCGTCATAATCTGAGTTATCTTTGGAAGATCCGACAGCTTTCGGTCCTTGTGTAATGCTTGGATCAATTCTTTTCGCTATTGAAAATACTCTCTGCACATTTCCTGCCAACAGAATCGAATTCCGGTATAAACTTAAGACGATCATGTTATAAGACCACTATTTCAGGGGAAAAACACCAGAAATGTGGTCGAAGAAGAACAATGATTCAAAAGAATTAGAGAAGCTTCACTTATATTGATGAAATCGTTTAGAAAGCAAGTGGGAACTCCTTTAGCAGGCTTATAAAACGAAATCTTCATCAGTTCCCTCATCTTTTCCGGCTTTTGGGGCAACAAAATACTAACAGCCTCATCCACACTCTTCACTTTAAACATCCCTTCGTCCATATCTTTCTCTTCCATACAAACCCCAGCGCAAACACAGCACCAACTTCTCCACTGTCTCTTTAAACTGCGCCGCCATACTATAACCGACAGAGCCGCCGTAACTGATCCCGATAACGTTCATAACGGTAATCCCATGGGCATGCATGACCCGCATGACACACTGATCCTGGAACTGCTCGGAACGTTCGGGTCGGGTTGTGTAGGAGTCGCCGAAGAAGAGAAGGTCCGGGACGTAGACGTTGAATCGGGACATGAGGGGTGAAATGAAGTCGTTCCATATTTCCATTGCCACATTGCGTTGGCGCCTATGCCGTGTATGAGGAATGAAGTGGGCTTGGATTTGATGTGAGCTTTTGGGGCCCAAACGTGCATGACGGTGCCGTCGCCGAGATCCGTTTTCGATGACCGGTGGCCGGCGTTGGAAAAGCTGTAGCGGAAACACCAGTCCCTCGTCGCAGTCAAGCTGAAACACTTGGTCATTTTTTTTTTTGTGAACGCAAAAATTAAATCAAGAAGAAAAGAAGACGGCTTTAAACCAGAAGTCGAGGGATTTTGTTGGTTTCAAGTAAAGCACCAACCTTTTCTATAGTTGCCCCCCCCCCCAAACAACGAATTCAGTTTACTGACAGACGAAGTAAAATGTCCCATTTCAGAGTTAGGTATAGATTTTAACTTGGCTAAACTACACAAATAACCATTAACATTTGAGTAAGTTTTTTGTTTTTTCCATTGGAGTTTCAAAAAAAAATTAATCACTAATGTTATTGATTTATAATAAATCGGCCACTTAACGTTAACCACCGTTATTGTGGGTGATGGAAAGTTGGTGTGTAATTAAATGCTGATGTGGCACCTATTTTGACTCCTACCACGGTCAATCTCCTTTTACCCAAAAGCTAATGTCTAAAACCCCTCATGTCAGTAGTTAACGTGCAATATCAGTTTTTTGTCACCCATAGTAACGATTGTTAATTTCAAGTGATTGATTTATTATAAATAGATAATATTAATGATCAATTTATTACTTTTGAAATT